GTACAAAAATTAGCTAAGAAAAATTGGATTTAAATCTGATGATACATATGTATATATATAAACATATATATAAAAACAATTTAAATTTTTTATTTATTTATTTTTTTACATTTTTTTTGTTTTTAATCCAAATATATTTCAACTGCAACTGGAATTAAAATCAGTCACCTGAAAAATTAAACAAAATTAAAACAATGTAAGTGATGTTTTCTTTGTTTCTGACCAACCAGTGAAGAGAATGAATGCAGCTGATTCTCTACTAATGAATTAACTCATTAATTTGAAATGTATATTTCTGTTTTGTTCATAAATGACCAAATCATGACAAATATCATCAAGAGCCTTTCAGGTCGGTCCAGTTCAAACCGATCAGCCCGATTTAATGAACTCTAACAATCACCCCATCTCATTTACTGTAGGTGATTAAAATCAAAGTAAAGAAATTAAAAAAGTAAAAGGAAACACACAGGAAACCTGCGTCTGATCGACAGAAACAGACCTCCAGCCTCAGATCTGCATCCGGCTTCTCTTCTGTGCCGTTTAAACGCGTTTTTAATTCGTTCTGCCTGAAATCTGAACAGACATTTTTACCCCTAATGTGTCATTTGAATCCATTCAGATTTTCATTTTGTTAAGCCAGAGAAAGCCGTGTTCAATAAAACAGAAAAAATCCACAAACGGGCAAACTTTAACATTTTAAAGGCTCAACTTTGAGTCATTTATCGTATTTTTTCACCGTCTTACAACCAAAAATCTTCCACACAGCCTCTAAAAGCTCCTGTTTTTTTAGTGTCAGAAACAGTTTGGACTTTATTTTTGCATCAAACTGAGGCGTTTTAGTTATGAGCTGTTTAATTCTGTATAATTCTGTGTAATTCTGTATAATTTATAGCTCCTTTTTCCAGATTCTCTTTGACCGTATGGGCGTTTTGACGATGGGAAGAAGTGATGATGGTTAAAAACAGAAAAAAAGAAAAGCTGAGTTTCCTCCTCAGTTCCCATCAACACACACGAGTCTCAACAGTCAGTTTTGAGTTTTTGTGTTAACGTTTTTAAAGCCTGATCCAAGAATAAAACAAAACAGAAAATTACTTTTTTTTGGTTTGAAGTCTTTATTTGGCCTTTTAACAAAATATGTAAAAAGAAAAAACAGAAATACATTTTTGATATTAATAATTTATTACTATGCGATAAGTCAAGATTATTTTTTGTGTAGTCTTCTGCCCCCTGTTATCAGGTGTATCTGATTGTGTACAATAGGATTTTGAGCAAAGTTTTTACCATTAAATTATGCAAAAGGAGTCAGACGCATAACATTTCAGAAACCGTATGAATCAAATATGAAACTTTTGGCATTATAGGGCTAAAACAGCTTAGTTTTTTGTATCTTCACACCAAATTTAATAACCACTAACTTGTTTCTTCACTGATTTTCACTAAAAACGTGTCCGACAGCTTCAGTGTCTCCTGGTTTCGTTTGTTTTTAACCATAAATTCACAGTTTAAATGTGAAT